AAAAAAAAAAGCAAAAGAAACGAAAGCACCGCACCGAAAATATCACGATTCCACTTACCGAAAGTGAATAGGCACAAGTTGCATATTGTAAACTAGGGATTACGTACATATATATACATAAATATACCTTATATATATAGCACATATACTTGTTTATTACGCATGCACGGAATCGATCGATAGGGTATAGAAACTATGTTTCTTTATTTTATTTTTATTCGATATATGTCAATCACGTATTTTATTACATATATCAATTTTAAAATGCCGATAAATCGCATAATTTATTTTTTCAAATTTTTTTCTTCTAGAAATCATAAATTAATTTTTTAACATTTTTGGCATAAAGCGAACAAGCTTCTTTCCCTATACCCTATATATAAGCACTTATATGTATTACAGTATATATATATATGTGTGTGTGTATATATACACACTGTGAAATCGATAATTCAACGCTACCAATAGCATTGCATTTATTATTTTACTTTGAAAATTATACATAATCTTATTCGATATTTGTCTTTAAAACAGAGTTTCGAGAAATAGTAAAAAATAATTTTTCTACGTTACGTTAAATTTTTTTAATTCAAAAAATAATAAATATATAATTTTTATAATATAGATATAGATATAGATATAAATATATTTCAATATAAATATTAAAAACGATATTACACATTGTAATACTTACGTTTCATGGTTGATTAATCCAAATATTATTTATCTTCATCGTACATACGTTCAAATTCAATGATTCGTTTATTATTTATTTTGCAAAAATATAACGTTCAAACCTATATTTAGATATGTAATAGAAAATATCACGTTAAACGTAAATTTTTTTTATTTTTTTTATTATCGTAGCAACTCATATTCCAATATTAATTTTAATTATTATACAGAGTAATAAATAATTAACTCTTCAATTTTTTGACAAGGAAATGTTTTTATCCGTTTTAATGCAATATTTGAAAACTCTTATTCGTACATATATAGAGACATAAATTCTGATTCGAGAGGATGCAAATTCGTAGCAGGAATGATCAAAGAATGAAGAGGAGGGCCCAAATCGGTAGAAGCCATTTTTTCAAGGGAACAAGCAACGATACGTTGATTGTCCCAACCTATACGAGCTAAACCAATCGCAAGGCTGGATTTATTTAATAAAACTGAAAATTGATAATATTAATTTGCTTAGTAAAACCGTAAAATCGACAATATTAATTTTCTTTTGAAAATTATCCAAGATTAACGTTTACCCATTTCCTCCTTATTTTCTTCTATTTTTTCCTCTATAATTTTTAACAGTTGAGTAACAGCTTCCGACACGCTCATAAATCGCGTTGGCATATATTCTCTTTTCTTTTTGCTAATACTCTCTATAGTAGGTTCCTTTATTTTAATATCCAATAAACATAACGTGTGAAGATCTCTTCTTCTATTGGAAATTATTTTATCGTAGAAACTATTCGGTTGCCAATCCATGCTCCAATAAGGAATAGAAACAGTTTCTCCGAAACGATACAATTGTAAACCGGAACATCCGATTGCAGTTAATATGGAACAATTATGAATAACCTTTACCTACGAATAACGAATATTATCTTTTAATGTATCGGTCAAATATTATAATTTTTCTTTTATTAAAGAAACGCTTTTCTTCTTTACCTTTATATTTTTTGCGCGAGCTCTTAAAATTAAATCCGAATGTGTGGTAGCACCAAATGGATCACCCACTACTAGAAAAGCAACATTTTCTTTCTCGTCCTTTGGCAATATTTCGTCAGCATTATTTTCCACTAATTCTCTATCCGCCTCAAGTATCGAACATCCGTAAAATCGTTCCTAATTCGTTTAAATATGCTATCGTTCATCTCCTAATATCGAGCGAGCAAGTACAACGCATAACAAATTCGTGTACTATTATTATTTACTATTAATTATTATACATCAAATTAGATACTTTCATTATCAATCTACCTACCAAATCCTTCAAATCGATAGACAAAATTGATGTGTACGATTCTAAGTAGACACGATCGCTCATTCGAATAATTTCAAGACCTTTTACAGTCACATCTGTTGCATCGCCAAGGCCTAATCCAATCACGTATAACATTTTATACAAAATTTTAAATTTTGTTCACAATAGATAACGATCAATCAGCAATTAAGATCAAACTATAAAAGTTTGTATCGACAATTACTTGGATAAATAAACGATATAAAATATATAAAAATCAGATAGAGGTAGATTCGTTTTACGTTAGAATCTAGTTACCGGATATAAATAAAACCATGTGATCAAATATAGGGAAATCAAGGGAAATCAATTTTCAATCATGAGATATGAAATAGAAAGTTATTTTTCCATATTCTAATTTGCGTACTCAATCTATTAATTACTGTAAAACAATAAAGAAATAAATAAATTGCTTTCAAAATAAAAATGCATAAATATAAACCCCAATTTCGAAAAAATAAATAAAAAATTGACCTCGATATCGATAAATATTTACATTATATTTTATGCAACAATATAAATCGATCCTAATATAATGATATTTCATCATTTAATAATTCAATTACGTAAAATTTATTTATCACGTGACGTTGACAAATTTAACAAATATACGTAGATTTATAATATAAGAGATACATAACGAATTACATAAATGAAAAAAAAAAAGAGAAAATGTGAGTTTAGGGCAATTCACATTTATCACTAACTATCATTTCAATAAATATAGTATCAAACTCTGTGTTTCTCGCATGCGTGTTACAAACGCACATTATGATATATATGATCGAACCATTTAACGTTTAACCATTCGTTATGGTTTTTGATGCGTTTATCATATCGATTCGATTATGAGTGATTTCGTGTGAGCATTGTCAATATTAAATTATAATATATATTAGATAAAATACGGTATATATAATATAAATATATATATTTCATCAGAAAGGTTAGTATGTATCGCATATCGACACTGTGATTTAATATATTATACACCCAGAGATTTTGTATTGTCCATATATATATATATATATATATATATATATATATATAATACACGGATATAACGCAGTTTGTATCGTGTAAATATATGCTTTATTTTCTATCCTATCTATAACAATCGCGTGTATATTATTTTTTATTATCGTTAAATTATCTCAATTAGATGAACATATCATTTTATATACGGTTTACTTCTATCGCTATTTCCAGTGTTTATTATATCTGTGAAATCAAAAAATGGCATTGCAACGTTCAACCGTTGCATTTCAAACTATCCGTAATTTAAGAAAAATTGATGGAGAAATAAAATTACATCTTCGATCAAGAACTACAACACCCTCAGGTGCCATTCTACCGGAACCAAAAAAAACACGTTTTGGCTTTTTGGGTGTTATTTGCAGTGTCATGACAGGATTAGTAATAGGAACTACATTAAGTAAAATGATGGCTAATTTTCTCGAAGAGAAAGAATTGTTCGTACCTTCGGATGACGATGACGACGATGATTAATTTATTTTCGATACACATATTCTATTTAAGGCAAAAAATTTAAATTAGTCTTATTAAATTTATTCGGCTTATGTTTTTCATATTAAATCTTAATTAACTTTAAACTTAAGTATCTTCAAATTTTTTATCGATAGTAAAATATCGTATCGTGTATCGTTCTTCAAGCTTTATTCGCAAGCATAGTTGGTTTTTTCTATTTTCAAGAATAGATATCATTTTTCGTTTTAATGAAAATTTATATTAACAAAGTAAGGTCTCGCTGTTCGTTTTTGATTTGTCGATTTTTCAAAATTTTCGCCTAAACGGCGAAAATCACGATCGACGAAAACTTAGTAAAATCAGATAGGAGATAATTACCTAGATGTATAAAACGTGGCGCGAGAAATTAACTTAATTAAAAGTTTAAATATCAACTTGTTCAACTTATCAATAGAGAACGTTCAAAGTCCCTTGAAAACCTAAATTGCTAAATTGTACAGGGAAACTATAAAAATGGAAATCATTTAGCGCGAATTCGCGATGTCGCAGATTAAACGAGATTATTTTTATTATTGTATATTATAAAAACAGATGTAATATAATTTAAGAATTTTTTTGCAAGTATACGAATATCATATGTACAAGAGTTTTTAATTCTCTTTGGAATTTTACTTATCGTTAGAAAAAAAAAAAAAAAATATGGAAATTAAATTGCGTATTTTAATTTATTCGACATAATTTTTAAAAAGCGAATGGATTTTGCACATAAATGTACGTACATTCATAAATATATTCTATTAAATTGCATATAGATATCTATATACACAGACGTACAAACGTACAAATAAATATCTTGTAAATAATATTTTAATTGATTTCAAAATAAACGCGATCGAAGGAAATAAACAAACATAGACGAATATCCGTATATATTAACAATATCTTTTGAAACAAAACTCTAGATGTTTAACCGTTTAAAAAGTTACAATTAGAAAATTATTTACATAATAAATTTATATGAACAATTGCTTCGTTTAAAATTTGCCTTGATCGAGAAACCAGTTACCAAAACGATAAAAATTGAGACATTCTATTCTATCAAAAAATTATTTTATTGAAGCGGCCTTTTATGCGAACTCCAACCATGAAAGCACTTGGTGAATCTTCGAGATTCCTTTCCTTTAGCAGTTAGATATAATTTACGCGGTTTATCCGATTGTTTTACTCGTAAGTGTTGGATGTATACCTAAAAATTGTTTTACGCTCATTTTTCACTTTTACTCTTTTACTTATATCGTACTATTTTGTTCGATAATTTTTACAAATCGGATATTTTTATCGTTCATTTTTTACCTGAGCAGATTTATACGCCAATTTAATTTCTACTTCCGAACATCGACTGCCCAACCATAAAAATACTTGTTCACCGTTATCAAGTATCATAATATCATCATCCGCCAAGTCATCCTGGAATGGTATTAACGAAATATAAATATACACATTAATTTAAAAACGCGACGATACAAGCGAAAATCAAATAAATTTATAATTTATACTTGACAAAAGTCGGTGCATTTTTCGCTAATAGTAAAATATCCTTTTTCGTTCGAACATCTGAAGAGTCTAGTATAATTCATGTATTCCGCATCATTATCGTATGGTTTCTTTCCACCAAGAGCTACCCAAAAAAAATTATCCGGTTCTTCACCTTCATTCAAAACTTGTAAACTTATCCATGGCTGTTGATCATTCGAAAAAAACAAATTATATAGAATTTTATATTCGACAGAATACAAATAGGACAAATATAACAACAAACGTACGTTATTAAACATTTCTTCGGCGATTTCTTGAATCAAACGTGCTTCCTCGCTATCAGCTTTGGAACCAATCCAAGCGTACACTATTCCTGTCTCATCATCATTGTTAAACGGTACATTTAAAATGTAACTGTGAAAGAAGATATGTAGATAGAATAGATAGAAAAATATAGATAAAATAAATAAATAAATAAATAAAAAAGAAGATTATTATTATAAAATATGCGAACAATCATACCAAAAAGAAGGATTCAATAGCGTCGAATCAGCTGGTATTTGTATCAGTCTGGTACACAACGCACTTCCATTACTTCTTAGATGATAAAATTCGACCTTGTTATTACCACAAGTTTTAGGTTGTTTACGCTTACCATGATGAATAATGAATTTTCTCTTAAAATATGCCAAGAACTTCAAATTTTCTTGCTGTTGATGAGTTCTAACTACTTCCAAATTCTCACCGAATAAAGATTTAAATTTTTTCTGTAAACTAACAACAAATTTCTATCGTTATCGAAAATCGTATCAATATCGTATTATTTACGCTACATTCAATTAATATATCACGATTACGATTACTCGAGTACAATTAATAACAAATCGAATAAATCACATACAATGACAATTTTTCTTGCGCACCTAAAGGTAAAGGTCAGCCATCCCATATTTCCTGCATCTCTGCCCTGCCAAAAATACACGGTACATTGATAATCCTCTTCGAATTGTTCATCGCCATCCTCATTTTCCGTTGTATCTAATGGCTAAGATTATTAAATATTTTATGAAATAAAAGTATGTTTATTATGGCGTAACAGTCAAAATTAAACGATTAGATACAACGAAAGAAACAAATTATTACGTACCATCCAATAACGACATAAAAAAACGTAACAATCACCGCTATAAAAATGCCCTAATTCTTCTTCAGGTAAGCGTACAAATTTTTTTCCTTCCAAAACTAACGCTTCCATCCCCTCCAAATCATCATTCCATTCCAACATTAGCTGTTGAGCTTCGGTAAATGTCATAGGTGGTTGCCTAGGCATAAAGAGCGCGGCTAGATCCGCCTATGAAATATGCAAAACTAATTTATCGATTTGCATCGATCAATAAAACGAATATAAATCGAAAAAACGAAACAAATTTGCGATCACACAAATTTATCTATTTTTATTTCATTCGATACGTACTTTCGTTTCCTGTTGTTTCGCCCATTTCGTAAGATCCGCACCAGTTTTGGCAACCGATTCGGCAGTTCTAGTAAAATCAACCGCTATAACTTCATCCCATCCAGCGAACTTCGATTTAAAAATCTAAATTTAAAAAAGACAATGATATCGTTGTACATATTCTCTCTCCGTTCTCTTTCCCTCCTCTTCCTCAATCAAAACAATCGGATCAAAACAATTTTTCTTTGCATCTTCTGAAATTCATAAAATTCGTATACCTGTGATTCAGTTCCTTCTTGCAATCTGGTTACCATCGCATATTCCGGTCGTTCTATCATGTTAAATAACTCTTGAGACAATTTAACGGCTGCTGCTCGTACCAATCTCGTAGATTTTTTACCGAACCTACAATTGAACATAATCGAATAATATAAGTGAAACGTGTAGTGTGTTGCTGTGCGTGTATGTATGTATGTGTGTATACGTGAGTAAACGTGTGTATATATAATCATAATTTTGATTTTGTAGTTTTTAATTAAAGGTTACGAATATGTACCAAACGTAAACATCTACATGACAATCTAATATATAAACATTTCGATTGTTTAAAAGCGTGTTTCTTAATTTCCCATGAGGTACTTCGACTTGAGGCAATTCCAAATAACCCATACCAAGTTGCACTTGATACAGACGTGGCGCGAGTGGTACAAAATTCACATCTACGTGTTCCTACGACAAGAGATATTAAAAGGATAGATTTTAATATACGGTTATACATAAAATTTACTTAGATTTCTAAACAAACAAATTTTTAATCGTTTCAAAAAATCAATCAAATGTTAACTTACAACGATGGTAGGTGACAGACGCGAAGCATCTTTAAAGTTCAAACACGATAGAAAATCGTCCGATTCTGTATTCATGATTTCCGTTATGATCTCAGCTTTATTCTTCCTTTCGTTTTTATTAATCTTTTCAGCCATTAATCTCGCTTTCGATTTCAGCGTACTTTTCGCTTTCTTGCCGTACCATATGAAAATCTTATTGCCAGTATCCAAGACGAATACGAAGCCCGGATCCAAGGAATCGAAATAGACAGGAACGGGTTCTAAGTGGATCGAAGCATCGGCAGCGTGTACTCTGTACAATCGTGTTATCGATGGCTGCCATGCGTCAATCAATTTGAAAGCAAGCACGTCGAATAATAATACGTAGAAATAGAAAATTAAATACCAGAAGAATATCCAATAATACAAACCGTATCTTCGACCGTGTAAAATCCAGACGAGGTACGACCTCCTTCGATATACGTAATACCAGATTCGAATAACATTAGAAATTCATCCGATTCTTCGCCTTGTTCTTCTCTAATAGTACGGCATTGCGCACCCAAATAATTACGCAAATTTACGGCGTGAATCGCAGCACAAGCCCTCTTGTCCAACTGTAAAATACATCGATTCGTTCGCGACATCGCTATTCCGTCGTACCCGATTGATTAATCGTTATAAAAATCTAATCGCATACAGTAAACGTACCGTAGCTTTTTCTCCTATCCAAAAATAAATTGCCCAAATCAAAGATCCAGCTTCATCGACTTCAGTCTTTAAAACGATATAGCAGTCGCCCTCATAAAATTTTCCATGCGCCACTTCTTCTATTTCATTGGGTAAAAAATTTTCTATCTCCCATACAGACAAACCAGGAATTTGACCAGCATCTTCGTCAAAAAATTCAGAATAATCCAACGGTGGTTTCTCCAGAGTTTCGTCCCATCGTTTAGGCCTT